TATATTTTATTTATATTATATATATTTTATATATACAAGATAGCTAAGATAATTATATTACTAATTCCTATTAATTTGGTGAAAAGAACATTTAGTGCTTACATTGTCTGATCAGTTTTGCATGCCTAATCTTGTAACCTGAGTAACTACTTTGAAGATAACAATATGCAGTATAATAATCATTGTTAATTTCCTATCATCTTGCTTTACAATTCTGCATGCCATGTCATTACCCATGTCATTCTTCTTCTTCCCCTATTCCTTGTTTAGATTTACTTTTCCCTGTTGTACTGCATTTTGAATAATGGGATTTTGAAAATAAAGTGTTACTTTCACACAATTCATTATGAAACTTGTTTAAAAGTTGTATTGTGTTTAGAAGTGTAAAAATGTCATTCTAAGGACATGGAACTTGTAGTCAGGTAAGCCTAGTTTTTCTCCTGGATCTGACATTTACTACTTTACTCTGAAAAATATATTTACCCTGTTGAAGTCTCTGTTTTCTCCACTATAAAGAGAATAATAGCATCTTTCATGCTACTGGCTCAGGATTAAATGAGATAACAAAAGGTAAGTGCTTAGCATACAGTAACTGTTATGGGTTGCCCTTGCAAAATTTATACAGTATGATGACGTTCTAACCCCTAGTATTTAAAAATGTGACCTTATTTAAAATAAAATTTTGCAGATGTAGGAAAGTTCAGATGAATCATGAGGACCAGCTCTAATCTAATCTAACTGTCCCTGTGAAAATGAAGAACTTGGACACAAAGCAATGCACACAAGAAAAATGTCATATGAGGATGAAGACAGATGAATAGAAATCTTTTATAAGCCATAAAGTGCAAAAGATAACTAGCGAATCCCTAAAAGCTGGAAAAGACTCATAGAATAGATTCCCCCACAGCCATCAGAAGAATTCAAGCTTACTAACCACTTGACTTAGACTTTGAGAATCTGAAATTGTGAGACAATACGTTTCTCTTGGTTAATTTAACCATTTCTCTTGATTAAGTTACTGTGTTTTATGCTCTGAAGACTTAGCAAACAGAGGTAAGCTATCAACAAATCTTAATCTGTGGTAGTGATTTATTCCTGGTCATCACATGACTCAAATCTTTGAATTTCATGAAATATTACAGACATTCATTTAAATACTATTTCAAGACGTCATCAGAATGAGCAATTCATTACTTATGTATACTAGAATTACAAGTTGTTCCATGTTTGAACAGTCTGATATCATTACATTATGTTTTATTTCTGTATCAGAAGTGATATCTCCAGCATCAAGTTTATCTAAAGCAGCAAAACTTCATTATTATGTTCTTATGAAAACTGAAATGATATTATGTATTTTAATAACAACTCTTTAATTTGAATGAATATTTATAACTAGAGATAATAGAATTTCTTATGTCTGTCTTCCAAAATTTAGATTTTATAAACAGTTTTCAGATGATTAGTGAGTAATGTTTAAGACATATTCTTTGTGCCTTTTCCCCTACACATTCTTTCTAGAAAAATATGATTTACAGAAGTAGATTTTATTCATTTTGATACCCTCCAGGCTGTGAAAGGAAACTCATACATAAATTTCAATATTGTGAGAACTATAGGCCTTGGAGCTAGAGAAAGATTCTGAAGAACATTTAGCAAAAATTCAAGTACTTACTGGCTATGCAAGCTGGGAAAACTTGTCAGATGAGTGGTTCTAGGCATCTGAGAAAACAGCAGGAATGTACTACCAAATGCATAAATGTCAACATCTTTCCAAGAGGAAAAACAAGAACGATGATTGTTCTGTTATATATTAACTTGTAAGATATGCAAAATTTACTGAAAGATAGCATTTGTATGACCAGAAAAATTTTTTCCTGGCCTAAAGAACTTCTCAGAAGAAATAACTGAAATGACTTATGAGCATGAAATCACAGCAGCACTGAAGCCTTTGCTGCCTTTGTTGCTGCCTGATAACACGACAAGATTAGTTCCTAGAAAATTAAGTTTAACTGAGGAGTTTAACTCCTAGCAGAATTTGTTTTTACCTTCATTTGAATCAATGATACAAAAAGAACAAATTTTTCTCAGGATTTTGCATTGCCTTGGTTAATATAGGAAGTTACAGTAAGATAGGCAGCCCTCTCTTCTTTGAAAAATACGGTACAATAATTGAGCATTCACTCGTTCAAAGCATACGCCCTGAGTCACTGTATAAATGGCAGGCACTGGGCATCGGGCATATGAGCAAAACAAACAAATGTCTTCACGTAAGACTTGTCGTCTGCTATGCAGAGGTGAACAATAAAAAAACAAAGCAATTTTTTCTAAATAGGAAGAATTTATTGAGAGAAAGAAAGCTTCTGTCTGAGAAGGAAAGAACGGGACCTGGAAGGTGAGTTGCCCAGCAATCCTGCTTTTCAAGGGTGTTTATTGAGCAAAGCCATGAGGTGAGCCGGGCTTAAGGTGGGGCAGAACTATAATCAATCGATAAGATTACAAGTGTAGTCACTTAGGTAATATTGATCCAAAGGCAAACCATAGAATGAATGTGAGGTGGGACAAAACTAAGGTCAACCAATAAGTAGACAAGAAGAATAGTTGCTAGGGTAATATTGATCAAATAAGGATCAAATGGAGAAACAAATCACACAGCAAGTGCACAGGGGCAGAAGAGGACTTTCCCGGAAGCGGCGGGTTAAGGAGGTCTGGTCCTCCACCCCAAGGTGAGTGATACCTACTTAGAATAAAGCAGTCTAATAGCTACAAATCTGAAATTCTATGACATAAACAAAGTAAGCACCTGGATTGAAAATATTGGGGGCCTGAAACGATGGAATGAGTTGTTTTTATTCTCAGACAAGCTCGCAAAGAAAAGTATTTGAGGTTGAGATAAAACAGATGAGAAGAGATGAAATTTGCAAACAAAAAGAGCCTTCTTAATCTGTAATGAAAATGTGCAAAGCCCTAAGGCAGAAAAGAAGTTCTGCAGTCTGTAAGATGACAATAATCTGAAATGAGAAACACAAAAGAAGACCTCACAGGAGTCGTTATAGGTCACTGGTGGCAAATGTATGGAACACATACCACATCAGCCATGCAGAACCCTCTCTGTTGTTACAAGAGCTAAATTGCCCCAGCATCACCCCAGTGGCCAAGCATTATGGCTTAATTTCAGTCTTCACAGTTTGCAATAATTAAGTAGATTTAACATTGCAGTTTGGGCACTGAGCCTCTGAAAGTTTTGCCATCACTGTTATAGGTCATATAAGTTCGTATGTTAACTAAACTAATCTGATTGCAATGATATTCAAACTTTTCAACAGAAAGATGTTTCAAGCTATTATTTGCTTTGTTATCTTAATTCCTATTTGGAAATTATGTACTTTAAAAGAGAACTTAATGTTTATGGGAAACTGATGAGTGACTGCCTTCATATGGGACAGATGAAAATGATGAACTGAAGCAATAAAGTAGAGATAGGATTGGATGAATTTGGAGTGTTCCTGGAGGCAGAACCAGAAAAGAGCTTGGTATTGGCCTGATCTGGAGAATGAGCATATTCCCACAGTAGTCCCACTGTTAGTTAACTTGGAGGACAGCAGTTAAATTTATATGGAGATAATGATCAGAGAGGAAAACAGTGTGAGGTGGTTATAACCTTACTGGTACTTATTCATTACTTGTATATATGTTTAAAGCAATAGGTTGTTTCAGTTGCAGCCCAGGTGTTTTGAAAAATTACACAGTGAAATCATTTCATTCATGAAGCATCTATCATGCTTAGACCAAACATGGTTTTTATCTTTATTCACTTTCACTCCAATTTCTCACTTATAGCTAAAATATAAACTAGTACAAAAGTGAAGTTGTGATACTTACTAATTACAGTCTTTGTAATTTACATTTTCTTATGAAAACTGTTAATTATGTCTCTCAATATCTCTGTGATTTTTTTTAATTTAGATGCATTTGAAATGTGCAAGAACAAATCCTTGAAGCAAATTTATAAAGTAAGTGGATAAAAATGAGCTTCGTAGAGCACTAGAGTTTTGGACTGAATTGTGAGGAAAGGTTCAGGGGCTGAGTAATTATTTTAAATGTATGTAGGAAGTCCTTGTATATTTCTGTCTGGTTGATAATGCAGTTCAAAAATTATGAGAATTAAATAAGAAAAAACAACAATCTTCTGCAAATAAAAACAGAACAGTTAAGGATAATGATCTAAAATCTTATTCAATTTTTTGATCAGGATTTTTATGACCACTGCTGGATCGCTATTTTTTTCTTTTAAAATAACCTTTGAAAATGTGTGTTCTAAACCATCATGTGTAAATTTGTTGATACTACCAGTAATGAGTTCAGTTTTCAATTAGTTTATTAAGGAATCTTGTCTGTTTCTACTAACCAAAATACCTAACTCAATTCTGTCTGTCTTTTGCACATTTTGGAAGTCTAGGGAAAACAACAATTTGTGCTGGGTGTGGTGGCTCACGCCTGTAATGTCAGCACTCAAGAAGCTGAGGAAGGAGGATAGTTGCAAATTCAAGAACAGCCTGGACTACAATGTGTGCTCAAGGCCAACCTGAGCTACATATCAAGACACTGTCTCAAAAAGACCAACCCCCTCCCCAACTTGTTCAGAATTCTGGGATATATCATGAGAGTGGCCATGTCTTTTTCTAGCCTCACAGTGTGTTGCTCAGATATCCCAAGGGCAAAGCTATCCCAGACCTGTTTACTCTCTCATAATTGTGTAGCAGGATGGATGTGTGAGATGCTCTGTCCTTGCTGATAGATCTATTCTTTCCTAGCTTTCTTCAACACCAAATCCTTTTTCAGTGCTTTACATACTTACACATATGTTGAATATGCTATTCATAACCCCCCTGAGATCACTGGGACGTGCTGCAAGGACCACTGGAAATTATATTGTGTGAATGCGCTTTCCTTTCAAGTAGCATGCCCAAGCACTGATGCGCTCTGTACGTTTGCCTGGATTCAGCCGTATCTTGACCATTGTTTATAATTGATTTTGCAAGTATTGCATGACATCAATTCAAAATTTAGAATGACTGAAATAATTACCTATTTCGTTAAGAACACAGAGAAAAATGAAAATAATATTTCACGGCTTGTATTCTAGCAGTGGTTTTTCTAATAGCATGTCTTCTAAATTATATTCAACCCCACGATGTATTTTCTTGTTGCTTTGTGATCTGAAAGTTGCTGTTTTGCTTCTTCCTTGAGCTTTTAGATGTGCAGCAAACTTTGGGGTTGACTGTTAAGTAATGAATCCCTTCCTCTTCCTCACTTCCTGATATGGGAATAGTTAAGGCACAAGTGACCTCATACTAAAGTGATTTGATAATCACACAGTTATAAGGTGATTTCAAAGTGGCACAAAATTTTAAATTCTGACTGATGCTTACCGTGTATGGTGGATACCAAATTTAGAATTATTGCTACAATTATATGGGAAAATGTGTATTTAGATTTAGCTTACAGTTATCATTCAATAGATTACAACTTTTGAAAGTTAAAAGCTACTATGTGCCTGCTTAAGACCACAATCCCTTTGGCAACTAGACATAAAGGAGATTGAAGAGGAGAAAGGCATCGTGAAGTGTATTTGCCATGAGAGAAGTAGACTCCGACTACAGCACATACGGAGAGGTAAAATTTGTAGGACATAGTCAGTATGAAATAAAGAAATGGGGTTGAAAACAAGGTTCCCAGAATCTTCATAGTGTAACCTGATGGCCGGTATCATTCCTTCTATAGTCAACTCGAAACACCAGCTTGAAGAAAACTGTTTTAAAACAGACGTTGTGGATTCATTTTCATTTCACTTCTCATGATATTTCTTCTGGAGCCTCAAAATGATTAAAAAAACCCATCTATTTAAATTTATATTTATTAACATTTATTAAAAGTCATATTCAATAAACTATAATACCTTCTATGTAATTGAAACAATTGCTTGACACACATTAATTTGCTTGGAATAATCGGTAATATTAAAAAATAATATGAACCTTGTGGTAATTGTTTAGATGATAAAAATAATTTATAATTTTATAGGGTATACAGGAGGAAAATTTTGGAAATAAAGAGGCATTTATTGATTGTTCTATCAACTTGAAAGTCAGGTATCTTATAAGTAAAAAAATGGAAGACCTTCAGTATTTCAATTAAAAAACAATATTGACTATCTTTCCAGTTAATATTAGTGTCAGCTGGTATCTACTGATATGCTACTATCAAAAATCTGGTAAAAATGTAAGATGCTTTAGTCGTGAGTAATTCGATGCTCATGAATGTTTCCTTCTTATTGTTTCCAGATGATATCAACAGATTTCCTTCTTGGAAATTATTTCTTATATGACTAAGTAACTGGTAAGATTTACAATTTAAGTTCTGTTGTACAAATTAACAAAGAAATATTACTGCATCATGCCTGCTTCTCTATGAATTCCACATCTATATTGCTTCTGTCTCTCTGTCCCTCTCTCTAGAAATATTGACCCAGTATTCAGACAAAGACACTTAATACAGAGAATATGTCTCCTTTAATAAACAGATGTCAGGATCAAATAAATAATCCCATCTAGGGGCTGGGGATTTAGCTCAGCGGCACAGCACCTGCCTGGCAAGAGCAAGGTCGTGAGTTCGATTCCCAATACTGGAAAAAAACAAAAAACTAAAAAAAAACAAAACTAATAATCCCGTCTGTCTCTAATGAACACTCACTATTGTCATATTTCCACACTAGGAGGCCTACTTATTACTTTTGGATGCATAGAGGTCAATTAGTCTGTCCTAAAGTATTGCTTCAAAACGGTCCTCCAAATAAGAATCATAAGAAATGTAACGTGAGTGCTACACACACTCTACTCCAGGCAACATTTTTAAAATGTAATTTTGCTTTTTTTTCTTATTTTCTTTTTCAAGAATTGGATCCTAAATGGCAAGTTTAAGAAAGGGATTTATTGTAGGTATTAAAGAGATCACAAAATCATTACAGGCCCAGACAGACTGCTTTTGGGAGAACCTCAAAGTGGGCATAGATTGGCCTCTCTGCAAGAACTGCTGCTTTTTTCACTCTCGGGACCACTACTTAGAGGACAAGTCACTGGCTGAGTGGCTGGCTCCAATCATCACTCTGTCTCTGGCAAAATGTGTATCCTCACATTGTGCAATTCACAACCTGTCCTTTTTTCTTTTCCCACAGAGTAGTTTCAGACTACCGATTCAGAAGACAGTCATCCTTAAACCTTCTACTCTTGATTATATTCAGAACCAGAATGGAAGCTGATTTGGAAAATGCAGCATTACTGGTGCGCTCTGGACAGTGCAGAAAGGCTCATGAGGGGAAGTTGGAACTGATGATGACTAAACAACTCCTTTGTTTCTCAGGCACAGTTACTAAATAAGTCACAATCACTATAGGAAATAGATACTAGAAGTGTCCCCATTTTACATATGAGGAGACTGAGGCAAAACAAGCTTGCCTCACTGATAAATATCATTCAACTGAAAGGAGGCAAATCTTAATTAGAATATTAGACACGTTGGATCTACAGTTTGCTGACTATCTACTCAAGATGCCTCATGTGAGACTGATTTATTTCACTTATGAGTTTGGTCTCAGGTTGCATTCATTTACCTATAAATTTCGAGTTTATCTTTTGTATGGCTGAGTAGTACTTCATTGTATAAATACACCACATCTTTTTATCCATTCCTCAGCTGAAGAGCATTTGAGTTGTTTCTAAGATTTAACTACTACAAATTGTACTACTATAAACATGGATGCACATATATTGCCGTGGTGTGATGTTTTTAATTCTTCAGGGAAAATACCCAGAAGGAATAGCTGTGTCAAATGGGACCTCTAATTCTAGCTTTCTGACAAATCTCCATAGTGATTTCCATACTGGAAGACCAAGTGAAATATTTATTTCTAAGTGAAATAAATCGGTCCCACATGTGCAAACATTGTATTGTCTCCTTGGTGTGCAAGCAACTTAAAGCATAAATAAGGTCTAAAATGTATAATAGGTACTGTGAAATGGGAAGAATTTGTTCAAAAGGAAAAGGACCTTAGAGGGGTCCTTTTTTTTAAAGATGAAAGGACGGAGGCAAAATGGAAAAAATGCAAGACAGTTGTACTATTAGTATATCTTAGCTCATTGAAAAAGTATGTTTGTGCTAATATTGATTAAAGGAATTTTAATGCCCATCTTGTACTCTGAACAACTACTTTAAAGGTAACAATATGCAATGTATTCACTACTGTTATTCCTCTATTATTTGTCATGAAATTTTGTTCTACCTTTTTTACATAAAATAAAAAAGATGCCTCTTTGAGGTATTACAAGGACTTGCATATTCAGAGAGTGACTGAAATATCCTAAACAGATTTAAAAACTATTGCTTACCTTTCCATTCCCAATGATTTTGATGAAAGTCATGTATTGTAATGGAAAGATATAGAAAGAGAACCTGAAATCTGGATTTTAGTTCTGCTTGTCTTCTGGCTGTGACCTGGGTAGGGTTAAATAAAATTGAAAGGCTGTATAAAGATGCAACCTATTAAAAAAATACAGGGCCTCTTAGAGATTCATAATGCATATGGCATTTTATAGGCTGTGAGAAGTACACAAAAAGTGCTTAGCTTTGTTCAGCTTAGGTTTTGGTTCAAATGTGCTTAATGATGACTGTCTTTTTCCAAATCTTTAATGGACTCACAGCATGCTTTAGTGAATATTGTCCTGGTTGCAGGAAAAATGAGCACAGCCCAAGTAGCACAAGCAGACAGGAAAATCAAGTGGACAGTTATATTAGCTCTACATGGAAATAAAGGAAAAGAATTCAGTAGAATATCAGGAATAAAGTAAGCCTAAGCATCAGAAATAGAAGCAAGATTTTATCTTCTTAGATCTTCCTTTTTTCCTGCCTTAGTGTAACATTGCCTTCTTTTCATTCCACATGACTGAAAATTTGGCCATAGCAAAGTTCATGTTTCTGTGTTCTCATTCAGCCTTCTGGAGATGCACTCAATATAATCTTCCTTGGCTCTCGTGTCACATTTTTGTGTAAACAACTAATTTGAGTCAGAGATCCGTCCTTGGGCAAATTGCCTGTGACCGCAGAGAGAAGGTCATCTTATAAAGACATGACTGCTCCTAGTGTAACATGTCAGTGCAGCAAGGAAACTCCTAGAGATGAGGAGTAAGCTGGGAATGGAACACAATAGTACAAGCATTTGGTCAATAATAGGTTTATTGATAGAATAGTTGTATTTTGATCACTGGGGTAAGATGTTAATCCAATTTATGTCTCACTTCAAGTTGGAGTCCAAGAATGTTTATATGTACTGTGACACTTAGATATGTACATTGGGAACAATTTACTGTTACAAAGCAAAATAATTACTGGTCCATGTCAAATTATTCTTAAGCTTCTCTGGTTGATCCCAAATGACTATAACAAGATATTTCTGAAGTACTGAGCTCTAAAGATAATTAATTCCTTTATGCCTTTCTATGAGTCTTTGGGACCAGGGTTCTAAAGATCTAATTTGATTTTCAGATAATAGGCAACATCTAGTAGGTGTTTTTTGAATCTGTGGAAGACAAGCCAGTTACTGTTACTCTACTCTATTTTGTTGTTGATTTCCCATCAAATTTGTCACACAGAGGAAAATGGGATTTAATTTAGCCCCTTCTTAGCGGCAAGAATTCACTATGTTAGGCCAGTACATGTACTGGAGTAAACTTTGTTTATCAAGAATATACTCCAGATCTGTGTTTCCTTTTTGTAGTTAGGGTAAAAGTTTTCTTAAAGAAAGTACAAATTAATACTATTCATTTGATTAAATTCTTTTACCTAATTTCATATAATAGCTAAATTTGTAACATTATGCACATACATGCATCTGGGGAAGAAGATGACAACCACCATAGAATGTTTAAGGCTGTCCATCTCTCAGCTTTTTGCAACCTAATTAAGCTGCAAATTCAGTGAACCATTACTGTTCCATGAACATGTGAGATTTTCTAGAGGGCAGATACTCCATATGTTAGAGAGATTATCACAGGTTATTTCCTAACTTCTATTTTTCTTCCTAACCTATACCTGGAGCATCTATCTTCTACTGCCCAAGCTTACCCCAACTTATACACCTCAGATTTGCATAGGTGACTTACAGGCTTCAGATCAGGTGATTTGGGAGCAAAACATCTGCCTGACAACCTAGTTCTGATCTGCATCCCAGTGGGACAATAAAACTTCTTTTATAAATTACAACTTTCAGAACCACCTTAATAATATTATCAAAGACTTCCTATTTGGTAGGCTGTACTGCGTGTGCGTGTGTGTGTGTGTGTGTGTGTGTGTGTGTGTCTGTGTGTATTCTGTTGTTTAATTCTTACAATTATCTGGTGTGTTGGGCATCATTTTTCCTACTTTAAAAACTAGAATGCTTGAGTTATGATAAGTTAAATAAATCAGTAAAAGTGATATGAATTTAAGTGACAGAAAGGTCTTGAACATCAGACTGAAAGCAAAGTTCATAGCAAGAACTGAAATAAATAATTCACTAAAATTAAGCAGCTTTCAAGAAATGTTAACTGTTTTTGTTATATTTACTTTGCATGCTATCTTCCCTCCTGAATATTTGTGCTTTGTCTCTAACCTAGTAGGCTTGTAGAAGTCTAACTGTGTGAGTCTTGTGTGTGCCTTGCTTAGGTTATTGATCTAAGACATTGAATGTGGCTCTATCCCAGAGATCCATCATGGGTCCCCGTGTCACCTACATGCGCTTGTATTTATCCGCAATGTGGAAGGTCCAAACCTCTGACCTGTTTAAAAACTTAATTCCTAATCATTTAACTCAGTGTAATGAGTGAGGCTTCTCTCCTTACTCCCGTAGATTTCCATGAAAAAAAAATATGTTTTCTTTACTTTCACACGTTGTGGGTGCTTCATTTCAGCTCCATATTCCTTTATTCTGCCTCCTGGGATGACTGCAAGCTTTGTATCTATGAAGGAATCATTGAGTTCTGAAAGTGAAACACTGTGCTGTTGCATAATAATTATGCTGGGACTCCAAACATACATTACCTGTGTCCCTGAGGAAGACAAGGAGAATTTCTACTTTTGCATAGTCCCACCCCAGAGGGCAGCTCCAAAGTTAAGACCTACTGGCTCTTTGCCTACAATTTCTGTTGGAAATAATACTTAAAAAGTTTATAACACTTGTTATAACAAAAATTGATGGATCTCTGTAAGACATTGTGATGGTTAATTCTGATTATCAACTTGACTGGTTTGAAAAACACCCAGGATATTTATAAAGCACATTTGTGAATATGTCTGGGTGGGGCATGATGACATGACCTTGGGAACTGCCTCTGGTCTCTGGACCTTCTCTCTCAGGCTCTTCTATTTTCTGGTTCCCAGATGCCATGGAATGAGCAACTTTCCTTTGCCATGTCTTTCCATCGTGGGGTCTGCTTTGCAGCCAGCTTGCCAAGGACTGAAAACTTTGAACTAGTGAATGAAAATAAACCCTTTCTTCCTCAGAGATGAGGGTGGCAGGTATTTTGCTCTAGAACAGAAGAGCTGACACAAAGGCATAGATCATATTGGGCTAAATCAGCTAGATACAGACTATTTATCTTCACATACAATTTTGGGTAGCACTATAACTGTGCCTTTTTAGTTTTAAATTTTTTACTATATGTTTGTGATAGAATGATTACATTCATTATTTGCTTTACTGTCAAATTCTATGCATATAATTTATGGCATCACAGTTGACCAGATTTTGACAAAATTGAGGATATTTAAGTTGTTAGTTAGCCTCCTGAGACTTACTTTATCTGTCTAGGGAGATGAATATGATGGTTCTTTTCTCACAAGGCAATGACAGAATTTGCTCAGGTAAACAAGCCAGTGATCAAGGGTGTGGTAGAATTCACTTGACGGATGTTGCCCCCAGGAAAGAGGACTCAATGGACATTTTTGATAAGGATATTAAGGAAGAGTATGGACAATAAGGTCAGAGTCAGATTGTTATGGCTGATTCTATTACAGATGGATGCCACAGAATATCTTGGAGTTTGGGGAAGAAGTAACAGTTGTGCTCAAAGGAAATGCTCACTGTTGACTTCAGAGAAATCCAAGATGTAGGTCAGAAACAGCAGAGATAAAATACCTAAGAATTTAAGAAGCTCAGAATACTACTCGAAAAAAGAATGTTCCTCAGTGTCAGACTACTCATCCAACTCTGTCCAGGGTGAACAAGTCCCCCGAACAAGGTGCCTGCAGATGTATAAGAAAAAAGAAAACCAAGAGAGCTAAAATTTTGTGATCTGGTGCTAGCAGCCTCTAGGGCTGACTCCTGGATTTCTGTATTCAGTAACCTTCTATTCAGGAAGAACTCCTGGAGGCAGCCAAAGAATTGGAGGATAACAACTTTTTTTAATGAGCACAATACAACTCAATTATCATAGGAATGCGACTTGACCAGTTAGCCATCATGTTATCTACCTTCCCATATAACTCAGCAAAGCATCTAGTATTGACCCTGGGGCTTACAATGCTTATGCTAGACTTCCTCCAGAACCCAACAGTCAT